TCTTTTAGGAGACTGATGGATGATCATTTTTATTTCCTTCATCTAGAGTTACCATGCTGAATGCTGAGGAATTCTTCTAAAATGGATGTTCTATACCGAAAAATCCTAATATAAGGAAAAAAGATCCTATATTAATTGATCCTCCAGTCAATCACCTGGCTTTGCCAGGTTTTATTAAGTTCATCAGTGTAGCAAATAAATCTTACTGTGAGAGCATAAATATTATTGCCAACAGTGATACATTAGAAAAGCATCGAAAAGATCAGAAGACAACGAACCAGGTGGTTTTCACTGGCTTATTTCATGAACAGTATATATCAACCTGCAGCACCCACATCAAACTATATATTTTCCTTTTTTAGTACAGTTCATTTAAATACAAAAGACTTCAGCTTTTGCTTCATCCATATCATGCACTGGATTTGTATTATGAAACAACGTGGAGTAAGAAACTTACTCATCATTTACTATTTCCTTCTCTTGATCTTTGGATTTGGATTCAGTGGACAGTTCTCAGCTTTTTCAGGAAGATGACATTTCTGACAATAGGTCACAAACTTATGGCCAAGGTGCTGCGTCAGCTTTTGATTACTCAAGAGGCTTAAACTCCATTCCTGGTTTTGACAAAGGCTGCCTGTGCATCTTTAGGCTTGCCAAAGATTTTGCAAAGCTTTGAGCATATTGATACTTTGTTGACAGATGATCACTGAACTGAGAAGGGTTATTCAGATGAAGCACATGCTTTGGGTCATGATTTCCCTTTGGTTTAGCTTCCCTATCAGTAAAATGCGCTATTGGTATAACCTTTCCTATTGTACTTACTGATTCTGAACCTTTCAATCAGGAAATCTCTCTTTTTGTTATGGAAGTGTTCAGTAGTGTAGTAAAGGGGGCCTCTGATCTTGGAAGGTTTGCGTATAGACTGCAGAGTTCTGGATGAGGAAATAACTTTGACTGCGTCACCATTACCCCAGAGACAATCATTAAACCTTACAGTGAAGGTGGAGTGACTTTCCACTAATAGTTCATACATATAAACAAAATTAGGAAGTATCTGCTTCATGGGTGGAATTTATCTAGAAGTGCAACATAAATTTTCTTATAATCATGAAATTATAATGTCATTTCTTACTTGGGTTATTCTTTATAGCCAGCTTCAAACCATAACAAGCCCTATCTATTTGTTAACTCTTTATGCAGCACTAAAGGTAGTTAGGTTACATCACATAATGTGTACTGTAGTTTAAAAAGCAGAAATAAGTGCATGCTTACCTAATAAGTACTTCTAATATACCTTGAAGTTGAATCACATCATTTCAGCATCAACAGTACTTTAAATATTACCTGCTTTAGAGATTATATTCTAGAGCCTGAATTAATGGCATTACTGTCTTTTTTTGCTTTCCGTAGACTAATAAAATGGTAATACAGAATGCTTGTTTTTCCTGAATTGTAAGAATGGTAAGACTGGGGACAAAAGAGTGGAAGAAGTATCGTGAAGAAATTATAAGATGTATATAAAATTATAAAGTTGCATATATGTGTTTTTCTTCACTATCTTAGGTGTATTCTGCAATCCCTTTCAAGCTTCAGATTTATTTTGATCTGATGAGGCACAAGGTCTCAGCCTTCTTGGGAAACAGTGTCTGCGTTTACAGTGTCTTGCAAGATGACATTTTCAGACACTCCTTGAGCCACAATCCTACAACAGACCTATGCTGCCTCACTAGACCATGGGGAAAAGCATGTGGCTGTCACCTCTTTAGAATGCTGTGGCAGAACCAGGGCATCCTTCTCTTCGCATTTACAGGGCTGGCCATGCTGTCACATCACTTACTGGAGCCCTTCCAGGAGGAAGGACATAGTACACAAGAGCTTCACAAGAAATTCTAGATTTAGAACAACAATGAGTGTCTTCAACCAACCCAAAACTTCCCTCACAGCCATCAATGAAATGCTGTTCAAGCAGAGCATCAGACTGTATGAGATTCCATGTGCATACATTGCACACATCTGCACAATCCTTTGGCTTTCAGAGGCTATTCCCCCTGAATACTGGCTAACTCACACTTTAATAGTGCCATCAAGTTTCTGGCGTCACGACAGCTGTGTGCACCAAACCCACCCCATGGCTTTAACCTGCAAAGGTGCATCGATTTTGTTCTCATGGCAGCACAGCCAGCATGTCACTGTAAGAAAACACACAGGGTCATCCACAAAGAAAGCTTATCTTTACTTGGTTAGATAACATTTCTTGGTTCTGCTTTCCAGACCAGGTTCTCCTTAGACACTGAGATGTGTCATGTCTAGGACTATATCTACTTGTTGCTTGAACTGCGAAGAACCAGAGCTCTGTGTTTATTTCCTAGACAAATAATTCCACTTTACCTTCTTCCCACTCTCAAATTCTGTTCTCTTTCTCATTAAGATCAACCGGCTGAGAAATCTTACAGTGACTCTCTTTCCAAATTTCCTTGGCCCCCGTTCCTTTAAGCTTGTGCTGTAGATTGCTCTTATGCTAAAGAAAAGGACCCCCTTACCCATGTCTGTAGTGTTAGATAATGCCTTTAATGAAGGGGAAAAGATAAGTTCTGACAATTCTTAGTTCTCAGAAGAGAGAACTGAGTTCTTGGAGTCAGTGGCTCAGGCAGGTGCATAATCCGATTGTATTGGATACAGTGAACAGACGTTTTAAAAGTATTTGGACAATCTCCAAAGCTAACTTCTCATTGAGCCAAGAATTTCAGTGTTGGAAAGACCTGTCTGGCAAGATTGGAGGCAAGGGATGTATCTCTAATATCCATATGTGATGTACTGGGGGGTGGGAGGGAGGGCTGCTGTGCTCTGTTACAGCAGTTGAAGAATGTCTGGTCAGACACCCTCAGATGTTCGTAGGAAGCGGGTGGAGAGGGATGACATCTGTGAGGTCCAGATGTTTCCTTATGAAAGTGTCTTCAGTTCATCAAATGCTGTCAAATATTAGTAAAAGTAAAATCTTTACATATATGGGGCGGTGCAGAGCTGTCACAGGATGTGAATTTTCAGGAACTGATCAGATGCCATTTAAGCATCATTGTAAGACTGAAGATATATTATTCCAATTGGATGCTTGGCCACAGCAGTCAAAGAGCAAGCTGATGTGAATATAGATCTTCCCATAATAAATAATTATTGCAATTTAACAGTTCCGTGGCTTAAAGATTAGTCAGAACTCTTTTGGCTATCCTTTTCTCTTTATGCCCCTAATTATATCTAATGTGAAAAGATAAGGAAACCAAAGTTCATGTATGTTAAATCCTCAGCATTACCTTATATGTCTCTGCAAAGATGGAAGGAAATTCCCTACATGCCAGAGAATTTTTTGAATGGTGATCATACCTGTAACTTTATAAATGGAAACTTTTAATTTATGTTGTGCTGCCTTTCCCTTTTACCAGGAAGATTATAAAAAGCCGTAAGAATCAAGCCTCTAGTTCTCTCCCTCGGTACAGGCTTAACTCTTCAAAACTTCCTCCTCAAATGTCACTTGAGAACAAATCCTGGCTTGTCCACATCTAGCTTCTTTCTTAACAGCTCCCTATTTCCACCTCTGGTTTTCAGAGATGCCAAAAATGTTGTGATTTTCCTGCTGAAAAGACCTTGCATGCCGAGTAATTCTTCTTCTCAGCAATGCTTACTTACTGGATGACTCAGTAACTTCCAAAAGCTTCATGCTGCTCTTCCTTCCTCTCATCTTCGCACTGCGTAGTGATGCATATGCTTCTGGTGTCTGTAAAAACACTGTATCTGCCTAACACAGCTAGAGCTTCCTTTAAACTCAAAAGCAGAAAAATGTGTGCAGACGTTCTTCTCTGGGCACAGGATTTCTCTATGACATAAAGCACAGATAAGCCTCACAGAAAAAAAATTAAAGGAAAGTAGTGCTAGTAGGGATAGAAGTGGAGAAACAGTTGCAATGCATTTGTCAGAAGCCATTTTTGAACATACAGAAAGATTGTTGCAGTTCTTTATTCACAGAGCTCCTCAATTTGTGACTTCTTTGGGAAACTGATCCTGGAGTCTGGGATGTGACCTCTAGGAAGTAAAACAGAAAATGCTGCCCACAATACATACAGATTTACAGCAATTTTGTTTCTTAAACAATGTTTGCTCACATCGTACCATTAAACAATTAAATCAGACAACCAAAACCTTGATCACAGCATCTCAGCCAACTTGTGTTTATGTTAACAGCTGTATAGAAATGCACCTTGTAAGTGAGTCCTAGCAGTGAATGTGCACGTGGGTGTTTAGGTAGGATTTGAATAGAGGATGTTCTTCACACTGGCTGATCTGTAAGTATTTCCCTAGTGAATATGAGAGAACTTGTCTTCCTACATCCTAAGCAGGCATTGTGTTACCAACTAGAGAGGTTAACCTGGGTCTCTGTGTGGTGAGGAAGACAAAGCCAGTGTGTGAGAGTTCAAGGCACATGTACATAAGACAAGCTGACATTCACAGAAAGAGAAAAAAAAAGTGGTTCAAGCCCTATTTCCTGTAGCATATAAGAGACGTTTCATTCTGATGGTTAATTACTTCCATATCAAACAGATACTATGATCATGAGGGTAGAAGTTAAATCGATTAGGGTAATTAAGCAAAACATACCTCAAAACATGCCTCTCAGAAAAAGAATGATAGACAGGTAGGGTTAGTCAGTTGTCATTCACTCAGACTTCACTCAGAGACAGTTTACATCTTGTGACCCATTGCAAAGCTGAAGACATAAAGTGACTGAGCCAAGTTAATAAGTAGTCCCAATAATTACCAGAAAAAGTACACTATCTTCAACAACTTAGCAATTTAGAGTAAAACACTATGGATGTCAATGAACTGTTGGTAACATATACTCCTGTCAGCATTTTAGCAAGGCAGTCCAGTCTGACATCCCAATGCAATAGTTTTACTGTGAAGTCTTATTTTTGTTTTAATCTTAATATTTTTATTACACTATTTTTCAGGCCCTGATTATATCAAACAAAAATTTCAAGAAGGAATGGATGCGAAAGAAAAATCAGAAGAAAAAGATCAGGAAAAACCACCTACCCCAAAAGAGTCACCTCACTTTTATCGAAAAGGTACTACACCCCCTCAAACCCCAGAAGCAAGTCCAAGGCATAGTCCTCTTCTTTCTTCTGACACTTCTCCTTCAAAACAACTGAAAAGGCAAAGCTCCAATTCTGGGGCAAGACTCAATCAAGAAAAAAAGCTTTTAGCCACTGAGAATATAACACCCACAACTAACAAGCCTTTATATTCAAAAGCACCAGTGAAGGAAGAAGTAGGTGTGAAACACCAGCCAAAGTTTTCAGCCCAGCACAATCCCATCAGCACAGAGAATGGGGAGCTGCATGGTCACTACCACGGCTATTATGTAAAAATGAATGCACCAGTGCTTCCACAGGAGCTCAGGAAAGAAGATGAATATGCCAACCCATCGCCATCAACACTTGCACGAATACCAGCCTCTCAGAAGCCAAGTCCTGCTAGATCTGGGGGTAAGCCAGATGCCAAAGAAAACAAACCTGACACAAAAATGAAGAAAACGGAATTTGCTGCACCAAAGAATCCAGCTAATAATGAGTCACATTCAGCAGTGGAAAAAGAAGTAGGAAACAGCTCGGTAAGTACTACAAGAAACATTTTCACTTTCACTGCCCATTTGCCTCTCAGTGCTTAGCTTTGCAACCTGAAGAAAGGCAAAGCTCACTTCTGTCAAATCTTCATCTGGATACATTCTGCTAGCTAAAACCCACTGCACCAGACTGGAGTGAGGAACAAATATTCCAGTCCTTTATGTTATCTTTTCTGTAAACTGGGAAGGGATAGTTGATAGCCAGATACTGACAGACTTCTGAACCGTGAGATCCCATTGCATCCATGAACACAAAAGTGTGTTGCTGTGTGTGTGTATATACATATAGGTGTGATTTGCATGTGTGTAGATACATAGTCACAGATACACATTTTTTATATATAGATATAGATATATATATTCCTCCCCAGAAAAGAAGTCTCACAATGTTAATTGTACTTCTGTGGATATTTGTACAGTACTGGAAGTTAGACACACACTTTTCCCCAAAGGTCTGCTTTTGACTGCTGTTGGAGACAGGATGCTGGCCTGTGGTCTGGCCCAGTCCAGACAATCTCCCATTTTCATCTTCTGCTCCATGTTGATTTTGAGTTCTAAAAACAGGAAATTTGGACCAAAATATATACTGTTTTCAAATGCATACTTTGCAACAATTCTTCCGTTTTACAGTGACATGAAAAATTTTACTTTTCGTCAGGAAATGGAGAGGGAGTTTTAAAATTATGCATCCAGATCAGTGTGAATCTTAATTTCATTCTTATTTAAAAATAATAAAATTATCAATAGCTATGCAGAAAAGGAATGATTGCTAGTAGCATTTCTATTCCATGTTAGAAGGAGAAACCAGGTTATGAAATTCAGAATCTCTGATTATGATTCTATGATTTCTGGGCCAAGAGAAACTCAGAAAACCATTAGTTGTAGAACCTAAAGCTAACCTTTAAAACTGACTGATGATTCTCAAAGTAATTAGAAAAGCATCAGTTATTTGGTATTATTCTGGTGAGGTCATTCTTACATTAATCCTGCTATTCTTATTTTATTCACATTCTTATTAATGACATGCAAGAAGATGTAAGAGTATTGCTTGGGAAGTTCATAGAAGACACAGAGACCAGGAAACTGGTAAATAATGAAGACCAATACAAGCTGATCCAAATCAACTGTTAAGAAGGGTGCAAGTATAATTATCCATGGGTAGCACAGCAAAATATAGTGTTATGTTTGAAAAACAATTAATAGAGCCTGACCATGCAGGATCAGAACTGGAAAAGGTTGGTGGATCAGGAGCAAGAGAGGCAACTGAACATGAGCTCCCAGTCTGCTGCTGTTGTTCAGAGATGTTAATATAATCCTTAGATTTATCAGCAGAAGAGATTAAGCAAGAGTACATGGGAGTCTGCTCTATCTGCTTTTGGCACAGGTGCAACCACTTCTGGAGTAAAATACTTTGTCCATAAATCGGGGATTTAAAATGAAAAAAACCTTAAGGGGAAGTCCCACAAAGAACTGCAAGAATGATTAAAACATGTCTTACAATGAAAGATTCAAGGTAAAAAAACCCTGGCATATTAAATCATTTCCTCTAAGTACGCTTTATAAAATGGTTTTCCAGGCTAACAAGCAAATGTGTAAGAAGATTCAGCAGCTTGATAGATTCAGATAAAAGTCTTGGTTTAGGTTGCTTTTTATGATATTAATTAAATGTGACATTAGTTTTCCGATGCTGAGGTTTTGGACCCATCGCTGAATATTTCAATAATGAGCATTTTGCCAAGATGATATTCTCTAGTTCTGCAGGAAGCTTGTATTCTGTTTTGTGCGGATCAAAGTAGATGTTCACAGAGGTTTTGTAATCTGCAAATCTGTATTACAGCTGATATCAGCCCTTTAACCTTTCAAATCTCACAGATATGACTCTTATGTAGGGTAACACAAAGCTGTTGGGCTTGTAAATGTTAAGCAAGCATGTACAGAATTTTAGCCTGAATTGGAATTGTTTGTTCAGCTCTGGTAAAAATAAGTGAGTAGAAATAGTGCTTATTTTTCCTGCATTTCAAATAATGTTTTGGAGCTAAGCGAGTCCTCGTCTTAACAAGTAGGGCACCTGAACAGCAGTTTATTGACCTTCTAGAATAATCAGGATAAGGACCATGAACCTACAGCCTGTTATCAAGAAAGGTGTAAAAGTAATGAGATATTGTGCATTAGCTACTGTTTGTTTACTGATATTACAGTTCATCTGTCCCTCTATTTCATTTGGAGCACCCTAATTGCACTATTCCTGTTACCAGCATGTCAGTAAGGAAGGGAGGTAGATTTTAGGAATTCATTTTTAATGTAAAAGTATTCTAAGATATATGTAGATGTATGTGGGTGATTTCAAAGATGTCTTCCATATGTGTCTATAAATTTATTCTTATAGAATAAATTTCCTACACACTTATTTCTTTAAATTGCTGAAATGAGTAAAAATGCTAAAACGATTAAAGCGGAAAAGAGTAGCCTACTGGCCTAGCAGTTTGAGGGAGAAACAGTACAGAATGACTGTTAAAATTGCCTGGAGACTTCTAATTTTTAGTATTACCTTTCAGCTTCAAAAAACACTAGCCTGTTCTGCAGTGCTCCTGGACTGAGCTCAGTAGTGTGCTGGAATTATGCAGTGACTAACCTAAGAGTGCACAGTTACTGAGGAGAAGCCAGATTCATAGAATCATGGAATAGTTTGGGTTGAAAGGGACCTTAAGGATCATCTCGTTCCAGCCCCACTGCTGTGGGCAAGGACACCTTCCACTAGACCAGGTTGCTCAGAGCTCCCTCCAGCCTGGCCTTGAACACTTCCAGGGATGAGGCTTCCACGGCTTTTCTGGACAACCTGTTCCGGTGCCTCACCACCTCACAGTAAAGAATTTTTTCCTAATACCTAGTCTAAACCTACTTTCTTTTAGTTTGAATCCATTCCCCCTTGTCCTGTCAGTTTGAATCCATTCCCCCTTGTCCTGCTTAATGTACTTCTCTTTTTCTCAAACACTTCTGAATGTTGAGAGACTTAGAACTCTAGACTTTCATTGGGGAATTATTTTATTTTAGTAAGAAATTGCAATTGCTTTTTAGTCATCCTGACAAATGATTTCGTTATGCTTTGAAATGTATTTTTTAAGGAATATAAAGTGAAAAGAACCCTCACTCTCATGAAAAGGGAATGGTAAAACATGTTTTTGGAATCCAAAAATGAATCTATAACATTTATTGAGCACTTTCATTAGGTTATCTGAAAGTACTGTGTCAAATTGTGCTGTGCTTTTTCCAAGTTTCCGGCAATAATGCATTAAGAACATAGATACAGAAGGGAAGATTTTCAATTCTTCCTTCCATGTATCTAAATCAAAGCTATATCTCACTTCTGAATGAAACGTCAACTTTAATTTGGATTAAGATCGTTAAACAACTTTATTTGCAGCAAAGCTTGCAGCAGCTGTTTTAGTAATCAAATTCATGTTTTATATTTTCTGTTAGTCTGTTACATCCTGAAGAATGTCATTGAGTATCATCTGTGTAATAAGTAGTCATAGAACAGTACTGATTCTCTAGATATCCCCTTTTCTGTGATTATACTTGAAAAATATCAGCATATACTTCTTATGCCACACATTTAAGTGTGTTTCTCTATGTACTTACTCTGTGATGTTCAAAAATCAAAGTTTAAAATAATTTTGGAATTCATAAGAAAGAGTCAGTTTTATCAAGGTAAAATCATGGATAAAGCACAATGACAAAGTTACTGTTCATCAGTTGCTCAAAAACAGCTGTCTGTTTGTAGGAATTACCTGTCATTTATGAGAGATAAATCATCCTTGTTTCACTGAGAACTAGTCCAATTGTATAATTAGGTAAATTGTATTTACCACAGTGTGAAGGTTGGACAGAGACACTTGACCATAAACCAGTACTGTTGTTTCTAACTGCTCGTTAGCAGCCTCTGGCTCCAGTTTCAGTTTGCATGCTGCTATCCCACCTTGAATATGAGCTAATTTGAGATTGTCTTGGATTTGGGTGAAAAATAGGATTGAATTTCACAAAACACCATTGTAGTGTACATTCATGAATACACATTTTGTTTGCCCATGCGTGCCCATGTGCTGCCCTAGGACAGATCCAGGCCAGGCACAAGTGTTTTACTGCATTGTAATTTTTTTCGTCTTGCAGGTAAGGATTTTTAAACCACACAGACTGTTTAGCCTGGTTTTTACCTGTATCTAAAAGCTATGTTTTGCTGAACGTTACCCAGTGTGCTTCTACTCCCATCTTTTTGTTCAACTCTCATGTCTTTGTTAACTTAACATCCATTTAGTAAGGGCTATAACTACCGTGATATTAAAAAAATAGATCAGTATTTGCCTGATCCTAAATAAAACCTCCGAGCAGGAACTTTATGCTAAATTTAATGGACATTCCTAATGCAGTGGAGTTACAAGACTAGTCTTAATACTTCCTGGCATTACATTTTAGGAAAATATCTAACTTTCCTCCCCAGATGAAAACTAATTGTATGGTTATATTTTTAACTACATAAGTGTCTGACTTATGAGAAGCTGAAAGGGCAATTTTTAAGCAGGACTGAAGATTTTTTACTGCAGCTTCTTTAGTGCACCTGTTCTGATCACTCTTAGACTGTTCAAACTAATTGTGGCTTTTGCTATTTTAAGCCCTCGCAGGACACTAAAGTCTTATTTGTGGTATTTGTCTTAAAGCATTAAATGCTTGTTTCATAGGTGTCTACAAAAAGGTGGTAGTTCATTGCATAAGAACCGTGTGCTGCACAAATATTGTTTGATCATTTTTTAGTGTATCAGGAAATCCTGCTTGGGGCTGAAGGGCGTAGTTATCAGAAGAGGAAACAAAGTGCACATAGCAGACCAAAGTAGATGAGATTTATGTCTTCGTATAAGGCACAGACTCATTATCATAAAGACACATTTTTCTATGATCATCATGTAAAATCAACATGGTTTTACAACAGCCCAGTTCTCAAGCTGTCACTTGCTTCTGTCTTTGTAGATGAGATTTCTTGATTCAGGCTGTAGCCCCTAGGGTTTTTAGCCTAATTTATCTAATATTATTCTGATGAGATTGTTATACCTAACCTGACTGACAGATGCATCAAAAGAGAAGTCCCCTCCCCCTCCAACAAGCTTAATTTTGTGAGACTGTGCACTTATGATACTGAGCTGTTGTTGGAGCTGCAGTCCCTGTTTGTCAATCAGCCAGAATCTGTCTTGCAGCTACCAGGATGCTTTTCCACAATATATTTCAGGTAATGAATGAGTTCCTGGCTCCTGTTAAGTCCCCATAGGTTCAAATTTTTTTTTAAGTCATAATAGATCAATGTGATTTCCACAGATGTTATTTTCAAGTATGCAGAGTCCTAGGTGGCCAAATCCCAGTGAATTTTAATGGTATTTGGCAAGGATCTCCTTCACATTTGCTTGCAATTCCTTGTGCAGTATAACTGTAAAATCTTTAGTTGAGATTCCAACCCATAAGGGAGCTATTGACCAACCTAAGGGAACTATTTTGATCACATGGGGAGTCCCCGTTTGAATCATAGGATCATGGAACCGTAAAATGGTTTGGGTTGGAAGGGGCATTTAAAGATCACCTAGTTCCAACTCCCTTGCCATGGATAGGGACAACTTCCATTAGACCAGTTTACTCAAACCCGCATCCAACCTGACTTTGATTACTTCCAGTGATGGGGCATCCACAACTTCTCTGGGCAGCCTGTTCCAGTCTCTCAACAGCAGAAAGAAAGATGATGCTGAATCCACATCTTAGTGGAAATTAATAGTGTAATCAAATCACACTTCCTGTAGAGGACTTTGTAATATTAGTATGTTTGTCATGAGATTCTGGGAATTTTTTTGCAAAAGAAGCAGTCATTAAGTGGAAGGTTCACTCCTAAGGGTGTTTATACTAACATTCCAATACAGCAAAACTGAGATATTCTCAAAGTAGCTTTTGTTTCAAGTCAAACATGTCTTATTGCTCCAAGTCTTCCAGTATGGCTTTCCTGCATAAATCTCACAATTGCCAAATGCATTTGGTGGGAATCCTGATGGGAACTTGGATTTCCTTCACAGTAGAAAAGCACAGAAGTACCCAACCTAATGTAATTATGACTGTGCCAGGAAGTGAAAGAAGATGTTAACCTTGAGTTACACAGCGAGGCTCCTTACGGTGCTGTGCTCAGAAATGTAACCATATCTGGAGCTGTGCTTTGCTTTTATGCCTATTCTCTGTCACCAAGTGTCTCATATTCTTTGGCACATGGTGAGTCACTTGCACTAAGGAGGAAGGAACACGGTTCCACTTCTGTTCTGTGACCTGATGGTTAAGGCATACTACTGGTAAGTGGGAACTTGTTACTCAAAATTATTTTGACTAAGGTATCATTAAATCCTGTTTTCAGTTTCCTAGTCGATATTTTAGACATTAAGCAAAATGTGAATACTGCTGCCAGTACTGTTACCCCTCTGGCAAAATTTAACTGGCATCCTGGTAATCTTAATCATTGTTTGAACTTGAACACCTAGTTCCTCAACATGTGAAAAAATACCTCTGAATTGTTACAAATGGATAGACCTGCTAATTTGGTTTAGACTCGCCAGAGATTTAAGCAGTACTTGACATAACATATTTTGTGACTTACTCAAGAACTTAGCAGTCCACATCTGGCCTGCCATCTGATGTACTGTGTAAGGGTGTGTCCTGGTGGAAAGCGTTTAATGAGACTGTTTCAGAAGGAGAGCATGTGATATAATAATGACACAAGTACTACTCAATAGCTTCCCAGTTAAGTAAGTAACATTTTCTCCCACTTTGGTTGTCAAAAAAAGGTATTCTTTTCATAAAACACGTTTGTTTTGTCTGTTTTGAAATGAGTCGAAATTGAAGAAGGAACACGCTGTAAAGATGACGAGCACTCCGGCTTCCATAAAGTAGTTCTCATTCTTTGTTTTGCTCTGTTTTAAGCTGACATTGCTTTTGTTTTGATAGGTTTGTTTTCATTTGTTTATATGGTCATATTTGTCAGGTGGTTTAATCTCAGTATGATTAAGAGCAGCGTGATAATATACTCTCACTTGTATTTATGAAGCTCATTTTCACAAAGATAATACTTAGCTCAACTGAATATCAAGGGTAGTAGCTATTTTTCAGGAGCAGGGTCTGTATCCTTCAGATCAAGGTCAAAACCAACAGAAATTGTAAAATCGGGTCATGATCATTGCTGTGCATGTGTGGAAGGCTGCATTAATTCTCATATCTTTATTTTATTTTCAGGGCCCTAACTCAGTCATGATCGCGCTGGTAATGCTGTTGAATATTGGTTTAGCCATTCTTTTTGTCCATTTTCTAACTTGATTGGAATTAGGAAAGGTAAGAAAGGTCTTGTTTTCGTATAAAATCACCATATCCACCCCACCTCAAATGATAAAGATTTAATTTCTTTGCATACTTTTAATGTTCCCCACTTTAATTATAGCTATGCCTGAATGTGATTCAACATAGTTATTTAATATTGTAACTGTTTTGACCCTTCAGTGAAGTCATGACAACTAGTGGTGTTAGCCCACAGTTCTCTGCAGTTGTGTCATCAGCCTTTTAAATGGCACCTGTCATACTCAGACACAGGGAAGGAGGCTTGGAATTAGGATGGGACGCAAGAGAGATGAAACTTGGAAAATTCAGCCAGGGGCTCAAATCAGTTTCTCTGCTGATGGCTCGTGGCTTTGGGGTCTTCTGAAAGCTGAAGCAAGCAGCCATGTTGGAAAACAAACAAAATAATCTGCTGAAGCAGCCCCGCCACTGAAGTGCGTTGGCTTCTCCATCTGTTCCAGCAGAGTGTGACTAAACTGGAAATGTACGGAGCTGCACTTTTTGTTGATGGAAGCTAACAGCTGCCTTACTATTTTACCGTCTGATGTTTTTAGTGGGGAGATGGGAAAACGACTGCCAGAGGAATGTGGTCAGAGGATTCTGTTGCTGTGGAAGTGATTCCAGCGTTCACTCCTATCTCATTAGAAGAAATAGTTAGCAGCATCAGTCACCAGTCTTATTCCATTACCTGCTGCTTTTAACATCTCCTGCAGTGTTCTGGGAGATCGAATTTCATTTGCCTTTGCATGATTCTGTTCATTTGTTGTTTATGAAATTTGATGTATAGCCATAACATAGTGTTTGGTCCAGCCTGGAGAAAGCTACCAGTTCTGCCTAGCAGCAGAAGCAGAAAATCAAATATCTTTTCCTAGTCCAAAGATAAAATTCTTAAATTCATTTTCCTAAACCTGAAGAGTAATTTTGCTTTAAGGTTTAGGAAGTAATATACCATTGCTGTAAAATTTAAAGATGTTGATATCTTCCTAAAAATGCTTCCAAAATGCTTCCAAAGCAAGCAAAATTTTTCATAATAAAAGAATAAAAATCTTATGCTGGTATCAGCACATTCTAAACAGGAGGTGGAATATCAGAGTAAGCCAAGAAAGATGAGCTATAGGGTTTGCATGCTAACTTTTTTTTCTTTTTTCTTTTTCTTAATTCTGGTGCTGTGGTAATTGGTGATTTCAATTATTATGTATCAACACTGAGGTATTTTGCCAGCGGTTAAAATAAAGTCTTGTCTGGGTGCACATTAACGCCAATGACAGTTAAGCTAGCTAATGCTCATATTAAATCATCATAATTTTAAAATACTAGATTTGTGTTGAATACATTCAGGTAGAGCGTTTAAAAATGTTAAATGATTGTTTATCGATTTGATGCCTTCAGTGTCTTTAAAATCCATATATAATTTTACCTCAGCATTAAAAAAGCCTCAAAATTTTTCATTTGGAAGGTTTGTCTTAAGTAGTTTCATAGCCCTTTGTTCAAACGATGTGATCATGTTTCTTTTTATGTGCCATTATACTGTAATTATTGTACCCTATATTAATCAAATGCATGCTTATTTACTGAATATGTGGTGTGATCATTTGGCAAGTAAATATTTTAATTTAAAGCTGCAAAAAGCAAAGGGCTTGTATTATGTTTTATTTTAGCTCTATTAGAAAATCTTTCATACGGTATAGTTTTTGAACCTGTTTGTAAACTTTCTAAGTTTTTGCATGGTTTAATGGGCAACATTCTTACAAAATACATTAGCTATTTTTTGATTCAGCATATTAAAGTACCATAGGTATGGACCGAATATTGTGCAGCGAAGCAGCTCTGAGCAGGGCAGTAACACCGTGGTGTTTTTTACAGAAGTATGTTGAGAATCCTGTGTTTTGACCAGTGTGGATAAAGAAGAAAGCAGAAAGAGAGCAAATGAAAATAAAACTTGTATATTTATTTTTTAAAAAAAGTTTAAATTGTGTTTTAAATTTAGGAAAGTAATTTTTAAATAAGAACAAAATTTTAAAAGTTACTGTGTAAGCCTTGACTTAATGGATGAAGTGTTCCATCCCGCAGTTAAATCACCCCGTGTCTCCTGACATGAGGAGGTAATTTTGTAACTGACATATTTAATTCCTATTAAATGTTTATTTAAAATACTTTATGCTCTGGAAATAATGGGTAACAAAGCTTATGAAAAATGTTTATAAATTTAAGTAAGCATGTTAGTACCATTTATAAATATGTATGATTTATAAGCTTTTTTAAAACAAAGCTCAGACAAATCGTTGGTATTTTTCTAAAATGTGCACAGTTGTATTTTACATGAAAGGCTATTTATAATTGGTTGTTATACTGTACACTACATTTTGGACAGCACAATGAAGCCTGCCAATGTACTTAATAATGTCATTTTGTCTATTTAAAGTTTCTTGCTGTCGAAGAATGAACTCTTTATCTATGGGTTTCTCTATTTATAATAAATCCTTGACCCAAAATGTACAATGTACAGTTTTCACAACTGTATTTGCTCTAATAAAAATAAGTTGGTTATTAATAGAGTTTCAGACTACTTTTTCCTGTTTATGAATTACTTTGTTCACTCTCTGGAAGCAATTTTTCTAACAAATTCAATAAACGAGGAGTGAAGCAGGAAAATGGGTGAAGTCCTGGTCCCTTTGAAATCATTGTAAGTTACTGTTTTCAACAAAAGTGATTCTGGGAAACAATTAAAAATAAATAATTTTAAAAAAAAGTCAAGCTTCCTTTTGTGTCTTCTTTTATCTTCTGATACAGCATTTTCGTAGCTTTATAAATTTAGTATCTTGAATTACACTTTCACTACAAGACTGTTTAATCAATTTTGTTTTAATCAGTGAGTCCATTAACAGCTGTTCTTGTAAGTGAATTAACTTTTTTAAACTTCACTCCTCCTTGGGGTCTTCATAGGTTCAAAATTAACATGAAGTCTGTGAGCCAGTGTTACACAGAGAAAAATTGCCATTACAACTGTCTTAAAGCCACCACATTTACTGAACTACTCAATCAGCTGAAAATTTTATTTTCTGTCCTAGTTCAGATTACTAGCCAACTGTACTGAAATCCTAATGTTTAGTTGAAGAGGACAGCAAGTTTTATTTGTAGTTCCTATATAATGGAAACATATTTTTAAGGATTAGTTATTACTGTCTTGTTCTTTAAAATAATTCTACCAGCATGAAGCTTTATTTTCTGAATTTTTATTTTCTACAAAATAGCCTGCTCCCTAAAGAAAATTTTTGGCTCTTCAAGTAGAGAAAAATATATTTTCAAGAAAAATAAACAGAAGTAGCTACAAAGCAGAAAATTTTTAACCGCAACAAGCAAAGGATTTGTGCGGAAATAAAAGGGAAAAAAAGTTTTCATAATTAGCAGATGGTCATTTTGCATCTGAGATGTTTTTACCAGTTATTTATATCACTTGTAAACTTACAAATGGGGTTATGTAGGAATGCTTCTGCTATGCCTAAGGGGAAAAAAGGCCCCAAAAGATGGACACACAATGCAACTTAATGCTTCAGGATTTGATCTAGCATGGAAAACTTTACCCCACTTCAAATGCAAGGAAAGTTTTTCTTAGGCAAAGTAGTTTCTCCTGGCATAGTTGTGTGTTTGCCCACAGATGCCAGTAAACAGTGAGCTCTCACCTTTGAATTTGACATCTGGTTTCTTGGACAACTCCATTTATGTGGTTAAACCATATATATAATGTACACAGAAAAACAGCAAGTGAACGATGGTGAGGTGCCAAAGGCTGAAGAAAAAAAGAATTGTCTGTCATCATAGCTTTTTACTCTATCTAGTTCTTTCTTTAGTGCATATATATATATGTTTATAGATATATATAAAATCTTAGTATATATTACTTTGCCTTCCCATCAGAAAAGCAATAAGCAACACAAAGAGCAAGGAATCGTTTGCGTTTGCTTTCTAAAAGGAGAGGTTTGCTTTGAAGGCAGAAATTTTGTGACATACGGCTACAACTTGCCTTTCAGATACAGATGTATGTTAAAAAAAATCATTAATACAACCTAGTGCTGACTTTAAAAGATGTAAACACCTCTTTATGGGTGCTTAATTAAAAATCTTGAAATAGTTATTTACATAATTTTTAATGGCGTGTTATGTGATTACATATCTATTAAAAGCTCTGTTGAGATACAGTTACACAATGTTAAAAGATTCTGACAATAATGCAGATGCAACGATAAAAGCCTGCAGAAATTCACTGCGTACTGAGCTACAGTAGCATTCTCAGTTGTTATTAATAAAACATGGTTGTGAATTGTATCTAAATGGTTTTACTCATAGTTCATTTGAACCGTTTAGTCAGGGGAGACAGTTCTATAGACCATTCTCCTATGGAAATGGAATTCAGTAAACAAAGCAAATTAAGAGAAGGGAGATTAAATAAGCCTTTCAAATGAAGTGGTTTTCTCTCATTTAATATTCACAGAAACAGGAAAAAATAGAAATCATGTCAAGTCTGAGCAAGAAGCCATGAATGCACACATGCTGTAGCTAAGCCATCTACAGTATCCATCTCCATTTTTTTTCTACTGGACACAGAAACTTTAAGAGACATTACACTGCCTCCCACTGTAGGAGGCAAATATAATTTCTGTAATAACATTTTTAAGAAAAGCTGCCTATAATGTCAATGGCTTTAAACTAGGAGAAAAAAAAACACTTCATCTATCTAAACAGTTTATGTTGTGACCATTACTGTAGCAGCTGAACAAATCCCTCACCCTAATAAAACCAATAGCAAAAATGAAGTTGGTAACAGAATTTGTTAAAATCTCTCATGTTTCTTCCTTCCAGTTGCTAAAAAGAGGAGACGGGGGGGAACAGGGAACAGACAGCTTTTTTTAACCTGATAATCTAAATTTCATCATGTCAATATGTCCTTCCTTCATCCAATGTTTTTCAGAGTCACTTGGGACTGGTTATCTAGGAGGTTTTAGGTGCAAACTGGCAGTATATTGAATGTTGATTTTTTTTCTCAGTAATGGAAAAAACTAGGATTTTTGCTATCACCTGTGAAATGGTTTTGGTTGTAGTTTTTCTGTGCTTCTACTATTTTTCTAATTATCTTCTATCCTTTAGTGCCCACCCACCCCCCAGCTCTGGCAAATTCAGCGTAATCACCTTTCCCCACACATGGTCATTGCCCCAGCACTTCAGCAACTCACTCCAAGAACTCTCGTGTTTTCTGTGGGGCACTTGTTTAAGCAGCAAGTTTAGGTCTCTCTGGCTGTGGAAGCCCTCTCCCCTGCAGTTTGCCCTACACCAAGTTGCAGGTGTCATATATGACAGTTTTCATTTGGTCCGTTTTCTGCATACTATTAATGCTGGCTTATGCAACTGTATTATAATTTCAAATCTATTCTCACTGTCTCGAGTGTCAGGACAGTGATATAAATACAGTATGTGGGAACTGAGAAGAAAATTACTGAAAGTGATGCTGTACACAGGGCTAATGGCTCTTTGCAATTCATAGAAACCAAGGTAATGCTGACATCATTGAGAAAAAGTCTGGTATCAACTGGATTAGGAACTCTACTACAAATGTCCACATTAAGATTGTGAAAAAGACTGGCCATACAACTGAAGCTGATTCTCAAGTCAGAAGATGAAGGAGTCCTCTTGAGGTTTGTGATTTACGGTATGAGGAGTTCTGGACTTGATACAGCTGCATGTGGATTGTTGGACAGAATGAAAACATTCTCTGTTGAAGATCTAGGATTGGTCACCTGCCTGACCTTTCTTATGTCTTCCTTCGTGCGTTATACTGATTAATCAGAGAGCTCTGTGAAAATTTGGGCACATACATTTAGACAAGGACTAGATTTTATGTTTATAAGTGCTTTCAATACTAATTAAGTAAAGAAAAATAAATTATAGGTGAATCATAGGCTTTAAACCATAGATTTTGAACTCTTTTTTTTTTTTTAATGTTGATTTATAGAAATTGGAAGAAAATACAGAGTATAGTCAAAGAGTAGAATTTCAGGTGTTATCTTTCACAATAGTAATATGTGTGTTAATCCACTACAGTACCTGAATTCCTTTGAGATCAATGCATTAATTTGAGAGAGATATATATCTTTCTTGACTTTCCAGACTGTGATTCACTGAATAGCAGCTTGACAGAGACACTGCAGTAGACCACAAAAGACAAATCTTCACCAAGAGTTTTGAAAATGGCTGCCTGTACTTAAATTTCTTAGTCTACACTTAATGACCCAAGTTTAAAAACATCCCGGCTCCTGAACACCTCATGGTTACTATTCAAAGACAATTTTGGGGAGGGAAAGGGGAGAGGTCAGATATTACACTGAAAACTGAAGTCTGCAAAAATGTTAAATTTGGCCTACAAATATGCCAGAGGTTGAAAATATTTTGATCTGGGTTTTGAGTCAGCTGTTGGAGCTACAGGCTCTGATTTTGGGATTGCAGTCAGAATCCAAATCCAGATCTGATTCCCAAGGCATACAGGTGAAGTGCTTGAACCACGAATGCTTTTAAGAAAGGGGCTGGGGGGAGAGAGAGTTAGTTAAAATCAGGCTGCTGTAACTCTGGGTTAATTAAACCATTACATTCTGTACTTCTGGAACAGTGTCATTAACTTTATTTAACATTGCAATTTTACTGTATTCAGGACATGTTCCACAGAGTACTTCTGAAAGTATCATAGTTTAAGGTGATGGTGCTTAATTACTTATCCAATTTTAGCTGCAAAGTACTTTTATCATGTAATACCACCCAGACTTCAAAAATACTGTAAACTGTCTTCCATTTAGTTATGACAGTTCTAGATTTTGTTTAGGCCACTGATGAGAAAGTCACAAAGGATGGGATCAGCTACCATGGAAACAGTGAAGGCAGAAGTGCACCAGCAGCCTTTCACAGGGGCTGGGACTAAAAAAGACATTCTGCAAAGAGAAGGTAATTGAAAGACATTTACATCACATCAGATGGCTTTCATGCATTCCTACCATACCAAGGCAACACGTTCCTACATTTGCTACAAGCCTCCACATGCAGAACAGGCATTGTCAGAAAAATTGGAAATGAATCTTCAGAAAAAAGGAGGTACAGACATGTTGAAATCAAAACTAGAAGAAGCAGAAAGTAGGGGGGAGAGGAAGAAAGTGAGGGGAAAGGAGAAGCCTTGGGAACCTGTATATGTTAAAGAGAGGAAAAAGGACTGTTTATAGGAGAAAAATACGAAGAAAATAAACTATATTGTACACAGAAAAAAGTAACATTGGTTAGATAGGAATATGAGTGGGATAGAAGACTGAGAAGTAACTGTCCTCAGTACACAAACAACTGCTCTAGAAAGCTGCTTTCCAGGCCCCTGGGAATTAAGAAAAAAAACAGACAGATTTAAATTGTATGAAAATTGAGATCCAAGTTAGACATAAAGAAAAATTCTCTAGTTGTAAGAATAATATCTATGAATTAGATTACCACAGAAATTAGGAGATTTAATATTTTTACTCTGGACAAGATTTCAGATTGAAAGATTGC